AAAAGCTCTTTTGGGGTCCTCCATAATTTTTAAAAGTGGGAAGGGGTCCTCAGAGAAAAAAGTTTAAGAAATACCGTCCTAGAGGAGCTATTAGTAAATAAAACTATTTCTGTTATAGGCAGCTCAAAGTTGATCAAAAATCAGATTCTCAGCCAAATAATGTACTGGAAGGTTTTATTTATCTGAATAATGAAAGATAAAACATAAGTTTCTCTTTTCATTCTTTATGGCATAAATATAGTGGAAGAACACTAACGTAATATCGACCCCCAAAGAAGAAAATGAGCATCATTTGTTCCTAATGGCAATGCAGTGTTTCTTAGGGTTAGCTCTTGCCTTAAAGATAGATAAACAGATAGAAAAACCTTCCCAACTAGTCCATTAGCTAGTCATTAATGGGTCATCAACTTTACGTTCACAAAAAATAAAACAGAATCATAGTTTTAATATACAATCACTTTTAAGTCTCCCTGCTTCCCAAATATTAACTGCGCAATTTTTATTTAGTGAAATTACATGTTTCTTTATTTCATATATATGTTAGGGGGAATAGAAGCACTGGTTTCTTTTTATTATTGTAGCTTAAAATTATCCATGGCTATAAATTTTTTTTTGATGTATATACTATACACGTTTTTGTTAGGTATTATTAATTCTGTCTGTTGCTTGTATTGAAAGTCAACTGGAACTCTCCTTGCTCACACAACTGAGAAATTTTATCTCCCCTGCTTTTTTTTTTTTTTTTTAAGAGTCAAACAAGCCTCAGATATTAGCTTGGAATTATATTTTAAAAGATATGCCTGAGTATATTTTTTAATTTTTCTTTGCTAATATTGTTTTTTAATTAATTAATTGGTTGAGGAATATCTTTGTACACATACATATACGCATAATTGGTTTTGTACATCTTTATTATTAAGCTTGCCTACTCTGCCTAATATTTCATAATATTGAACAATACAGTGTGGTAGTTTTTTGGGTGTGTGTGAATATAACCAGATGTTTAAATATTCTAGATATTTATGAATTGATTACAGCTGAAAATGATCTGATGATTGTAGTTTACTTTGAAGATATATGCCTCCCCCCACTCCACCCAAGGCAATTCGTTTTTATTTAGGAATTCCAAGTCCTGATGGTGACAAAAGTGAAAATATACTGAATAGGCATAAAGTAACAATACAAGAGAGCAGTGCATGAAGATTTATTTATTGTTTGGAGTACTTAGTTTTGTCTATGGCATATATTGCTAAAGAGTTGAAAAGATAAACACCTCAAGTGATGACCAGTTACTCTACTGATAAACAAAATGTGCATAAAATAGCAATATTTATAAATACAACTAGCTCAGAACTTCTACATGTTTTTAATTCATTTTGGATTGATTTGAGAGGGATTTATTAATTATATATGCTATATTTGTAGAGTTATTAAATGACATAAAACATTTCAGTTGATTGTGAAACAAATTTATGGTGTGCATTGGGCTTTATGCAGGACTATATTTGATGAGAAGAAACTATTAGAGTTTGCCAAACTTGGATGCTACTTAGAATATGATCTTTTTGGAACAGAATTTATTTCCTATCACATGAATCCTGATATTGACATGCCAAGTGACAATGAAAGAATTCTAAGGTATGTATTACAATGCCATAACGCTTTTAGACCGGAACATCTGTTGGTGATAGAAATGTCATTGGTATCCAGGTTTTAAAAAGGCCACAAGATTAGCCCACCTGCCACTTGCATCATCATGACATGTGTGCTTTTCATAAATTGCATTATAGGTTACTTGAAGTATCTTTTTTTAATTCATGAAAGACCATGGCCCATCTATATCTTTATCTCTTTCTAAACTGGAATGCTCAAGGATTTTGTTCACTCCCTGAGACCTCCTAAACAAGCATGTAGCTTGGGAGCATAACATACCTTTGCCATTTCATATTTATCCAAATCTGTGATACAGCTGTCCACTTTAAAACATATAAAATTTGTATTTTATTATAAATGTGTTTGCAGGAGAACACATTTATTACTCTTAAGATTTTTGTGCTTATTTTTTCACATATATACCCATGGTAAATTAATGCAAACACAGAACAGAACAGACTTACGAATGAGCACATACAAAATGGACCTGAATCAAAAATAATCTGATCAGTACAGTCCTTCTGCAATCATGGTTCAGAGACGGGAATTTGGGAGGCTTTCTCATGTGAAAGTTTCTTCTCTCCTTTTGTAGACACTCTTAATCATGGGGTAGAAAGGGATTATTCTTTCCAAGGACAGAAGACCACCACCCCCTTCCCAAAAATCTGGAAGGAAAACAACTATTGTGCGAAATCTAGCATTAATCCTTCCTACTAATACATGCTGCCCTTTATATCATTTATTTAGAAAATGGGTATGATTCATGTTGGTACTTCTAGTTTGACTTCTTAGTTATGTGTTAATGCTAGACAGTTTCCTTCTTAACTATAGTTCACAAACCTGCTCATCATCTGCTCATAATAGGAGCTCTAGTTAGTATCAGTCATAGTTAAGCCATAATTCTTGGGGGAAAAGGAAAAATGAGTGCCTGAGTAAATGGAATATGGAGTCTTGAACTCAAAACTCGAATTCCTACAAGAATATTATATTTGTATTAGATGCCATTGTAGAAAACTCTGTGTCTCCCTATCCAAAATATGGGACACCCACAGAGAACATTGGTATGCACATATTTACATACCCATCACACTGTTCCCCTCAGATTAAGCACCATTTTGCAAAGTGCGGGGGACAAAGTAAGTCGTAGTAAGGGAAAGAAAATAAAAATGAGATAAAAGAGAAGAGAGTCTAATTAAACATACTAATACCATATTTTTATGTACTTTAACAAAATAAATGCCAATGTGGAAGTTGTTGAACAAGCCGATTTCTTAGTTCTGGGACAATTTTAGAACCAGGTAGCTGGGTCATACAAAAAACTATCTCAGGTTGATACCATTTTGCTTAATTTTTTTTGGAAAGGAAGTTAAAATAGGTACAGATGGTATGGCCTCTGGTTCTGTTTCTTGTCAACCTGTCCTATAATTAACATGAAATCATTCCTACATCATCTGCTACTTGCTCTCTGATATCTGATAGAAAATACTCTTACAACAATTTTAAGTCATGAGAGTCAGTGTTGCAATTGCACTCTCAGCCACAGAAGCTCAGAATTATTTTGAGCCAATGATGGTCAGCCTAGCCTACTCCACAGGGTTATTGGAGAGAAAAATTGGAGGCAGGAGTGCTATATGTACCACTTTGTGCTCCTGAAAGAAAAGTGGGATATAAATCTAACAAATTGAATAAATGCATGATGCATCTAGATATTCTGGTATCAATCATCCTGCTGCAGTCAGTTATGAGAGCATTTTTAATCCATTCCCAGGCAGTCCTCAGAATGGTCCTGATTGAAAGTGCCAAAAGGACTATATAGGGAGACAAAATGGCTTTTATGTGCTCATTTATGCTAGAACTGTCCCTGAATGGCTTTCTGGGACTTCCGTTATTTGTTGCAGAAAACGCTGGTAGCTGCCCGACTCCTGTTATTTCAATATTGTTTCAGATGGCCTCATCATAGTCATGCAAATCAAATTGACCTATGTGTGTGTATAAAATTGGAGGGGGGGTATTTTTTCAAATGTAACTCCCATTCAGCTTTGCTAATTCAGAAGTGCAGGTGGGGAATAACAATCTATTTTGCGTGCAGATCATTTCAAGGTGTGTCTTGAGATAGTATAGATTTGTACAAGGACTCTTCTTTTACAAATGTCACTGAGGAACTGAGATGATAATTCTGTTATCATCTCTGTTATATGAAGAGAAACTTGTTTCTCCTTGATCATGATAATTAGAACCAGATTGCTTTAATTACTTTAGTTATCCAAGGATGTTCAACATAAGTCAACCTACTACCTTCTGCAATACTACATTAATATTTGTAATGTTTCATAGCTCACTTGTGATTTTAATGGTTGCATGGAGCTCAGTCTCATCCATCAGTAGGCAAGATGGCAACTCCTATTGCTTGAAGTCAAATAGTATGACTTCATTTATCTCACTGTGATCATGGGGTTTCTTCTAATGAGGAGCTGGCTATTCCAGAGCCATCCAATTATCTGAAGTTCAATGATTTCAGTGCAGAAAATTGGTCATGTTCCAGTTACTGAACCGTGTAAACATTCCAGTATTTATTTGTTTACATACTTTCATACTGCATTTGTAGAGGGAAAAAATCCCCAAGTGTAGTGGTTTAACAAAAGAAAAATACAAACCATTATTGAACTTTTTTTTGTTAACCCGACTCCTCAGCTGCACAGATAATAAAAGACCTTGACCTCTTATTCAAAAGTGTAAGAAGCAATATTTCTCATAATGGCTGTCATCGCATCTGTGGTGTTCAGTGTTGTATGGCTGTGTGGGATATCTGAGATGGAGTGCATTTAGATAAATTGTTCATGTGCTAGTCTCATGCACCAGGAAATTCAAAGGTGTGTTAATGCACAGTAAAAGTTGTATACCTGAAGCCCAAGCTTCTTGCTTAATAATCATAGAACTGAGATATGGCAGATTTTGTTTGTTTTGTTAAACTGTTTTGCCTTATGATTTAAGTTGTCCTGCCCATTAGACCAGTCCCTCTTCCCATTCAGCTATTGGCCTTCACTAGTATATGCCACTTTATCTAGATATTTTCAGCCAAACTGAATTTAATTTCCCTCACAGAAATGGCATTATTTGAAAAAAAATTCTGTTACTCTTGGGCCAGAAGAATACCTATAAATACTACATTAGCTAATAGTAACACTCGGGAAAGAAAAGCTTTGCGGGGATTTCCACTCTATAGCTGTTCACACATGATAACCCAGAATTCTTGAAAACTCTGGCTTAACCATGAACAAGCAGATGCTGGTGTTTTGTTCAGCTCATCTTGCTAGCAGGAATGCATGATTTGCTTACTCCTTTCTCTGAAGCAATATTTCTCCTTGCTTCTCTAAGAAGGAAGACTCATGAGCCAAGAATACATTTATTCCAGCTTGATAGCAAAGAAATAACTCAGAGTTCTCAGTTCATGTATAGTGCTAATTGAATCACAGAGTTGTCCAGTTTTTTCTGTCATCGTTGAAGTGAGAAGGGTTGCAGTGTGTATTACCAGAACAGTAGTAATTCATGATTAACCCAGAATTCACAAATCCTCTGTTTTGTATAAATGCAAGTCTCATTCCTTTTAAACATATGAAAATAGGTGGTTTCAGTAAAAATACTGTTGAAATCTGTTTCCAGAAATTATTTCTTTAGTAGCATAAATTATTATGAAGTATTTATTCAGAATTGTGTCCTTTTTTTTTTTTTTCCAGAGTTCGGATGTTGATTGAAGAAGGTTACGATGACAGAATTGTAATTGCTCATGACATACACACAAAACATAGATTAAAGAAATATGGTGGCCATGGCTATTCTCATATTCTTGAAAATATTGTCCCAAAAATGCTCACAAGAGGAATATCTCAAAATAAAATCAATAAGCTATTGCTAGAAAATCCCAAACAGTGGCTAACTTTTAAATAAGAAAATGTAAGTATGGCTGTGATCATGTTTGCTTCAGTGAAAGTGAAAAATTGAAATAGAAATTCTTTTTGGGTTGGGAAAATGAAATTGTACTTTTGGGGTACAGTACAAGAAAATAACATTTTTCATGTCTGAGCCCCGACTTTTTGATTGTGTGGTGGCAACTAAAACAGCTGCAGAATGTGTATCTTTTTTCAAAAAAATATGTTTAACATCACATCTATAAAAGGAAAATGGAGGATATCAGATGAATGAATCAAAATATTTTTAAATGGCTTTGTATGGAATTAATTGGGTGTAAAACATCCCTTTGAATTAATCAGGATGAGAGGCTTCAATCATGCACTGGCCACAGCTGAATATAAGCGCCATTGTTTTGTGTGTGGTCTGTGACAGAGATACCGATTTTCTCCAAAAAAAAAATTGTTTAAAAATGACATCCTAACATGAAATGCATTGTATTTTAAGTATGTCCAGCAATAAAGCCTTACTTGCCTGATTTCATACTGCCTGTGTGTATCTAGTTATAGGCTCAAATGAGCAAACCACATATATAAAAAATTCCAGACGTGTAGTGGGACTTTCCTTTTCCAAAGTACTATAGCAACACTCTGCCTTGCATTTGAAGGTGCAGTTGAAACTTTGGCTTTCCTGAAAAGTAGCCCCTCTGCATAGATCTATCTACTTCTTTGAAACTATTCTTCGGTTGCTTGAAACGTGCATTTTGACAATTTGGAGAAAATCTCCCAAAGTTTTGCTGTCAGTAAGTGTAAACTGCGTATCTTCTCCAACAAATGGAGTTATGAGATCCATAGCAGAATGTCAGAAGCATTTTCATAAAAAAAAAAAAAAGTTCTAGGTATGCTTAAGGTAAATGGAAATAAAAATAATCTATCAGCTTACAAACTGGTGGCATCAAGAGAATTTAGATAGGATCATCAAAGGTAGGCATATTTTAAGATACATTGATATGCTATGAGATATTTTTAATGCAACACAGAGTGGATAATGACAGAATTTATTAGCTCCTTTTAGAAAGTAGACTTTGCCAAGAAAACTGCAGGGACTTGTCCAGGCAGTCACCAGAAGTCAAGACTGATTTGAAGGGAGGGAGGGAGGGAGGGAGGTTTATTTGTTTGTTTGTTTTGGGAACCTATAAACCTAATTTTCAAGCTGAAGTTAGGAGAAGCTATTAATGAGATTAATCTAGGTTACTCCTCTGTATTATATATATATGGGATTGCAATGTAAATGTATGTTTATGAACAGAAAGTGAATTCAACTTCTGAAAATAGATATAGATAGGATTGGATTGTAAATAAGTAAATTCCATTTCACTGATGATGTTCTCAACGTGTTGATCCTAAATACATTAACTGGACAGATTTTTAATTGATTTTGGCAGAAAGTACTTTCCTGTGTTTAAGAATGGATGTAAGAAGAATATCAGGAATCTCAAGGTGCACTTTCACGGTACAAATAAAGATCCTCGAGCCAGTTTGGTTTAGTGGATAAAGGCACTAGGCTAGAAACTGGGAGACTGTGAGTTCTAATCCCGCCTTAGGTTCAAAGCCAGCTGGGTGACCTTGGGCCAGTCCTCTCTCAGCCCTAGGAAGGAGGCAAGGACAAACCACTTCTGAAACCTTGCCATGAAAACAGCAGGGACTTGTTACCAGGAGTCAAAATGGATTCAAAGGCACACACATAATTTAAAAACAGATGTATAGTAGCTATTTGTTCAGTTGTAGCAGCACCTGGCCAGGCTTGTCTGGGCCTGGAAGGTAAGTAGGGTCAGATCTCTTTAGCACTCGGATGGGAGACCACAAAGGAATTCCAGGGCTGCTGGAAAAAAAATCTGGGAAGAAGGTAAGACTGCCATGCTCTTGCTAAGAAAATTGCATGGATGGAGGAGTCAATCTCGGAGTATCAATTTTTAACTTTTTCAGTTATTTCAAATCAGATTCTCTATAAAATCATTAAATATATGGAGAAAACATTTATGGAGGTATAACTGAAACAGTTCCATTGGGCCTCTTGATCTCACAAAAATAGGCTTAAACGTACCATATTTGAAAATCTCTTTATACATATTTTACACAATCCTATTATTTCACATTCTCTGAACACCTCTTTGCATTGGACTAATAATGAGACAGACCACATTTACAAGTTTAGCACCTTAAAATATGCACTCCTGTACATGAATACTCAGAAGTAAGTCCTACTGGAATCACTCGGGTTAATTTGTGGTTAAGTTGGTAAACATATTCAAGTCTAGAAGTCTCATAACTGGTTTAGGACCTAATTATAGGCAATGAGTTTTTTAATATATAAAATCTTAGCATTTACATTAAACAAAACAGAAAATAACTAGAAACGTACAAGATTATTTGCTGGAGGCTATTCATTTTTAGGTGAATTTACTCTATTAAAATTAATTTATTTTTTAATATTAATGTAGATTGGGATCAAGAAAGAAACAGTAAAAATTATGTAATGAATTCAGGCCTGGATATTCCAGCATTCAGATGTGGATTCTAATATACCTTAGATATATAGCTCTGAACTTTAATTCCACAATTGTGAAACTAAGCTAATAGTGTCTCCTCTACAGGATTATTACAGAAATAATAATTGACACGTGTTCTGGTCACAGTCCTAAATGTACTTGATAGCATATCTGATCATGGAGATTATATGGCATATTCTTTTGATGCAATAAACAACAAAACACTACATCTTACATATATAGTGGATTAGCGTATGAAGTGGTTTACTTCTGAGTAGATATGCATAGGATTGTGCTGTAAGCACCCACCCACCCAAAGTTTATACAGCTAACTGTAGGAAAGATGCTTCCTGAAGTGTTAAGCTGTGCAGAATTAGCCTGTGCGAATTAGATAAGAAAGCCTATCTAATCAGTTCTACCTATAACTATCTACATTATGTCACTGCTCCACCACTGGGGTGAAGTTTGCATACAGCTGTAATTGTAAATTGAATGCAACAAATGGCACGCCAGATGAAATATGTGGAAAAGAGCAAGCTTAAAAACGTCGAAGGATGCTACTGAATTCTTTAGTAATTGGCAAAAAGGTAGAGCCAGAAGAACTGAAACCTTTTTCCACTGTGGTAAATATGAAGCTGCCCCACAAAGATGATTCAACCGTTGACTCATACCGAACTGCTGCTCCCGAGTATCCACACCATGAGTTCTATCCCTTCTCTCCACCCCTCCATAAAAGTCAAGGGTCGCCATTCAATTATGTGGGAAAACTTGCTGTTTGGAGCCACTGTAACAGCAAGGGCAAAACATGCGCGTGACGCTGCACGATGCCGATGACCTTCCCCATAGAGGGACTAAAAGGCATACATTTAAGTAATTTCTTAAAAAGAGTAAACACCAAATTATATTCTTAATAAACATTAGAAGCAGTACCTCCAGCACTCCTAGTCCCAGAATACAGGGTTTTGTTTTGTTTTTTTAATTTCACATTTTATTTTCACGGAACGCAATTGTGTCATTATTTCCTGTCTCTTGCTGAAGCTTAACATACAGAGTCAGAGCACTGCGTGTCATTCAGAGTGCATGTGGCCCTCTGGCTTGTACAAATGCCCACACTCATATTCATGGATTGTTCTTCCTCTGTTACACTAAATGGGACAATCCTCCTGGTTCTAGAGGGGGTCCCATGCCTGTAAATAATTACTGGGCTGAAGCAATAACAGAAAGTGAGATAATTGTGCTGTAGTCGTATTCTCATCTAAGTACAATAACATTAGAGCTAAGCCTTGAAGGAGGTCGGTTTTCTATTTCTAGGTAGCAAAGGAATGGAAAGATTAGGCAAATATATCCTTTGGAGGGAATAGCAGAATTTCTGTTACATCTTCCTTTTATTGAAAAACCATTCTTCACCATATACTGGGAATTGGCTCCACACTCATCACAGTTAGCAGATAAGTCACAAGCATCAAAGCTGATGGATCGAGAAAAGCAGCATGAAATCATAGCACACCAAGGGTATTATATATGCTGAAGAAGTAATTCAGTGCCTTTTTTTTTCTTTCTCTCTATAAAAATTGTGATTTATATAGGACTTCATTCACATGAACATTAACAACAAGGACTATTTTGCTTTGGCGATAGTGGACCACACATCTGTTACACTTGCTCTATTTTTTTAAACACATCTTTCTCTGGGTTGTACAGATGTGAGTCAGGTAGCATTTGGCCTCACTACTGAAGTGTCTACGAGCAGTATCCTCTGCGATTTCTTGATTCTTTCATTTTTGCCACGAGAATCCATCATTTAGAAGGTCATTTAGTTTGTGTTTTAGTATCAGTCAGCATAAATTATAAATCCAGAAAATGTGCTGTATTTGTTGTTGTTTCCTCCATGTGCTTTTCCGCCATCTAATTTTATATAGACTTCATCTCCTGGTTCCAAATGTAGGACTACGCTGTTGCTGGCGTAATCGTAGTTTTGATCTGCATCTTGTGCAATGGCACTAGCTCGCACCTAAATAAAATACAGAAAAAAGACTGTTCACAATTTTAGTACTTGTCAACACTCAGGAATGAAACTACGTTCCGTTACAAGTTCCAACTTGCGCTTATATTTTTGCGGGGTTTTTTCCCTTTACCACTGCAATCAACATTTCACAGAAAAGCCAGTTCTAGCTGTAGTAACACTGAACTCCCTTCAAACCAGCAATTTAACATATTCCTTGTTTAGGTTTCACATTCATATACTAGCTTCTTAGAAGTTTGTGTTAGTCTACCTGGAGGTTACTCCATTTACTTCCATATGACATGCTGAGAAACAGTGAGTTGTGATGATGAGTTGGGTTCAGAATATTACTCCACATCATTAATGACCTACTTCAGTGAACTGCCACCCTAGACCTCCTTTCCCAATCTGGCATTCTTTAAATATATTTGGACTTGCAAACTCACACCTCTACAAGTTTCACTGGAATTTTCCTGGAACTACAAAATGATTAAGAGCCAGTTTGGTGTTGTGGTTAAGGCATCAGGCTAGAAACCAGGAGACCATGAGTTCTAGGCACAAAGCCAGCTGGGTGACCTTGGGCCAACCACTTTCTCTCAGCCCTAGGAAGGAGGCCATGGCAAACCACTTCTGAAAAACCTTGTCAAGAAAACTGCAGGGACTTGTCCAGGCAGTCTCTGAGAAATGGACATGACTGAATGGATAAAAACAAAACAAAACCAAAATGATGTGTGATAAATGGCTTTTGAAACTGGGAAAAGTTTCAAAAATAGCTTCTGATATGATATGGGGAACATAACAATGCAATAAGAAAAGACAAAAAAACCCCCAAATATTTCACTAGGCTAGTGTAATCCCACTGTTGAGCCTAAACTGATTTTCTTCACCAGGTGAAACTAGAGGTGTATCACTCTGACATTGTATATGATTCCTATCAATTCGGGATCAGAATCAGGCCTTAGTGATAAGAGAAAGGATATGAGGTGATTATAG